ACAGGCATCAGAGTCTTCCTAACTAAACACCATTTATTTCAGGGACAGTCTGTCAAAAGATGGAGCTGGTGAGGAGGAAAATCGTTGAAAAAGGAGGCTTGAAGGTAAAATACTGGAGGATAGAGGCCTGCTGCCTGTAGCGCGCAGGGCCTGGCAGAGTCCTCAGGACAGGCTAGGGCCTGGCATCAGGTGCCAAAGGGCTGGATTTGCTGCTGGTGTATTTCATCTGGTATATTACGCAAAATATTGGCTTCACGTTGAAATCTGGAACCTATAGATAATTTATCAATCTTTGCTGAAAAAATCAAGATTTATTCAAACTTCCTCACTTCCATTCCCACCAGCCACTTCCTTAAGGGCCATCCCTCAACCCTGCCTTGGGCAGACATCGTGCACCCAATATTGATCACATTCAGGACAAAAGCAGGACATGTCAGAAAGCCCTGACCTCCTAACCCATGGGGGAATGATTTTATTAATAAAACTGACACTTCACAGCAATTTACATTCTGTTTATATATTACTTTATGTACTTTTGGATGTTATATTTTACGAAAAATATACTGTTTATTATATTTATTTTCACATACGTAGTGTTGGGCATACAGTAAGCATTCAATAAATTAAAGTTAACCGAATTTCCTTAAAGATGTTATAGCAAAATACTAAAATCAGCTTGGGGCATACCTGTAATAAACATAATGATGCAATGGTAAAAAAATTTCAGACTAAAGCACACTGAGCCTGAAAAGATGTTTATATAGAGAGAGACAGAGAAAGAGAGAGAATACGTTGGTATCACTGTTATTTCCATATCATTTGGTCTCCATGGATACCATCTAACTTCTCTTCTGACAGGAAAAAATTCACTGACAATATTATACTTCACTGTTAAATTCTTTGATGCTTTACATAAAACAGCTATTCTGTGTTTAATTCCTTGCCATTATCCATATACTCTCAGAAGTAAATCCCTTTTTGCTGCAAATTCTGTAAGAGAAAGTCAGTGTTCAATCCACAGTCCCAATTTCCTGACTTTTTCACATTAATAATAATGACAGAATTCTGAAAGGTAATGCCTTACATATTTGTAGATTGCTATAACGTATACAACCTTCTTTCATACGCAAGATCTCGTCTGTTCCCCAAAGCAACCCTACCAGACAGGCACTTAAAGTACTGTTATCACCTTCCATAGAACTAACCCCCAAACGGTAATCACTGTTATTTATCTTTCGGTTGTGTATTACCAGCTGACCCACTAAAATACAATTTCCCCAGAGGGTAAGGAAGTTGTTTTCCTGTTCCCAGTTGAACCCACAGAGCCTAGCACTGTGTCTGGTGCCTAGTGAATGTCCCAGGAATATTTATTAAGTGAATAAATAAGGTCCTTCATCTGCTTTACGCCCTTTTTGGTATAAAGCACAAAACAGAACCATGTCCCAGATACCCCATTTAGAGTTCTGCTCTTTATCAAAAGGAAATTGTGTGAAAATGTTCTAGAAACAACAGAGCTCATAGTCGATAATCCTACGAATAAAAGGACAGTGTCCTTGCAAACATGAAACAATGGATGCCCATCAAAAGTTAAATATCCGAAGTCTCGAATGTTCCACTACTAGTTGTGAGTTTAACAGCCTTAACTAGCTTTCGTATATTGAACATCTGCCTAATATAAGTACTTCAGGAGGCAGAGTGAGAAAAAAGTGGGGCCATGGTTCTTAGAGCTGTCAGGACCTTAGGACAACCATTTCTTTGCCATAATTTGCTTCCAGTTTAACTACAAACTCTCACTTTTGATTACGATGACATTTTTACAGGTAAATAAGTCTGAGGTATGCAAAATTATCTTCAACTTGTGAAGATCAAAAGAAAAAAGACAACTCACTGAGGATGAAGTATATAAATGTTTAATATTAGGAAGCAATTACAAATCATCACAGAACAGAACTCCTGAATCCAAGAGGCCAAAATCTAACTTCTCACACAACAGGCTGAGTTATAAATTATAATCATTCACTTATTACAGCGAAATTCCGGACTTTGCCATCTATCAGTCAATAGACGTTCCGAGGTTACCCCGCAGAAATGCCCGTTTAATTTCTAAGTATTCCATCTCCGAAGTTTCCTTAGAAAAGCCACGTTTTTCCAGAATTTTTTAGGTTTCTATTTCGATCCCTTCCCCCTCCAAAAGAGGAAGGATGGTGCGTTGGGAAAACTCAAGAATCCTGAATCTGTGTGCCCCCCCCGAAGTGAAACAGGGATTTCCCCCCTCCTCTCCAGGTCCTGGTAGGGGGGCGCGCATCTGACATCAAGACGATCCACCTTTCGAGCTCAGTCTGTCACCAGACCCCTGTCTGCACCTGCCCTGCGAGCACCAAAAAGTGCAGGCTCCTAAGCTCCAGTGCAATTTGCAATCGGTCTGAAAACTAATAAATGACTGCAGGCTTGACAGCAGCCTTGGTGATTCCTGAAAATCCACAACAGGAAATGTAACTATCCTCCACCCTCCCTAGCCATTCATCAAAAGCAGACCCAGTCGCGGCAACAGGGAGGCCAGTAGCAGAAGGCAAATGCCAGCACTTTTCCTCCTGTAGGAAGACTCTGCGTTTTTATACCGTAACCAGGAACGGGGAGCACTACCCGCCGCCCGCACTGGAGGGCGGAGGCAGAAGAGGGAAGGAGAGGGTAAAATGTCCCCAAGTTCCAAACACTCCCCTCAGCGGTTGCAAACCAGCGAACGCCGCGCCGCTAATCTGTGGCCACCCCGAGTGCCGGCCCCAGGGGGCACACCTACAGCTGATGCCCCAGGCTTCTGCCTACACCCACGGACCCGGGCGCCTCACCTGGCGCCCGGAACACGGTCTCTGCGCCCGGCTCGGGCTGCCAGCCTCCTTCCCTTCTCCCCCTCCAACAGGGCAAGGGGGTAGGGCGGCAAACGTACCGAGACCTGGGGCCAAAGACAGATGCCGGCGCGTCCTGGAGAGGGGATGCAGTTACATGCAGAGGCCCTCCGAACTTGCGGAGGCTTCCCGAGCCCCTCTCGCGGACCGGCCCCCAGGCCGGGGTACTGAGCGCGGCCGCAGGCGGGCGGGCGCCACGATTGGCCGCGGCGGGCAGCGCTCGGTGGGCGAGCCCGGCCGGCGAGGCGGAAAGGAAGTGGCGGCCACGGCTGTGCACCAACCACGTTCGGCCGGCGGGCGAATGCCACTCGGCGCCCAGAGCGGGGTCGGAGGGCGCGGGGCGGGCACTCGCGTCCCCACCCCGCCGCTGCCCGCGCCCCTGGACCCCCAGGGTACGCCCGCCCCCACGCCTGCCAGCAGGGCGCCGCTCGGTCCCCGGAGGCTCCCCGCCCCCACCTCGCCCGCTCCGTAGCCGAGGCGGGTCAGGCCCAGCGCGCCAGGCCGGCCCGGGGGCGCCTGCGGGGACCCGGCGGCGCCCGGCGCTAGGCCGCGGCCGGGGCGGATGACCCCCTCCGCGCGGCGCCCTCCCAAGACGCGCCGCCGGAGCCCCCCCGCGCGCCTGGACAAGTGCAGTGACAAAGCCCCAGGGCCGGGCCGGACGCTGGCCGGCGGGAAGGAGGACGCCGCGTCCCTCCGGAGCGGCGGTGGCGGCAGCGGCCCAGCTCCCAGGAAGCCGGGCGTGCCGGCCAGGCCCGGCGCCCAGCCCCGCTCGGAGCCCGCCCGCCGCCTCCGGCCGCTGGCACCCGACGCCCGCGGCCGCTCCCCCGGTCCCGCGGGCCGGCGAGCCCTGGGACCGCTGCGGGGCGCCCCACCAAGTTTCCTTTCGCCGCGGCGCGAGGCGCCTCTCCCGGCCGGGGCGCGGGGCGCAGGCAGCGGGGCGGACGGCGGGCTCCTGCTTATTCACGCTGGGGCTGCCCGGAGAGAGGCGCCGCCGCCGGACACCGAGAAGGACCCGCTGCCCTGCTTCGGATCTGGTGGCGACGGCGTCTGTAAACACGCACACACATGCACACGACAATTCTGTTTTAAAAGGAGGCCCGACTCCAGCGGACCTGCACCCACACACACAACACCTGGGGCGCAGAATCACACAGAGCAGGTCTGTGTCCATGGAGCCACCTCTCCGCATCTGCAAATCCAAAAGTGAAATTAAACCTCCACCAACCTCCTCCTCCTCCTCCTCCTCCCTCTACCTCCTCCTCCTCCTCCTCCTCCTCCTCCTCGCTGCCTCAGCAGCAGCGGCAACAGGAGCAGAACCTGCTTCCCCTAAAATCGGATGATCCCTAAGAGCGCCGACTGTTCCTCCGAAAACCGGTATTAATATTTATGAACCCCAGCATTTTCCGTCTGCAAAACACTGTGTCAAACCATCAGGACGCGCGCACACACACATCCCCGCCAGTCCTCACAAACATGCCCTCGAGAAAAACACACACGCACAGTCACAACTATTATTTGAAAAATGTTACCTCTCAGTGTGCTTTTTCACACTACCAATACAATTCCGCAAGGTTTAAGTGTTGCTAGGGTGTGTGAAATGGAAATGAAAGCCCGTCAGTTGAATAATCGCAGGAGCAAAACTAAAAGTTACTCCCCGGCTTGCCTGAGAACAGTCCAGATCGAAAGCAAAACAAGGAGAGGAAACTGCGAAGAGCTGAGGCTGGAAATCCCCCCACCCCCCGCCCTCCTCCCCGCCTGGCTACCTCCCTCCCTCGCCTCCCCCCTCCGCCCTCCTCCCTCCGCCCTTCCTCCCCAGTGTTTGTTTCAAGCTTGTGCAACCGGGAGGTGGAGGCGGGGGGAGGGCGCGAGCGGCCGGGCCGGGAGGTGCGGAAGTTCGCCGCGGCTGCTCATTGGCGGGCTGCGCCGCTTTCATCATTTCTCGGAAAAGTCAATTTCATTTTCACTTCCCCGCGTCGCGGCAGCGGGAGCAACAAGCGGCTGCTCGTGAGTCTGTTGTTGGCACACCGGGACGCTCACACTCGCCGCGCGCACACTCGAGGCCCGGGGGTGGGGGGGGGGATGGGGGGTGGGGGCGACCGGGCCCCAGCTTCGTTTGAGGCCCGAAGCTAGCGGCTGTAGGAGAGGAAAGCGGGTACCTGAGCCTCCCTCGTCAGGGCTACCTGAAGGTTGGGAAGGAAGGAAGGAGCAGGAGGGCGGCAGGGGGAGCAAAGGGGGCGCTTGTCATCCGGTTGGTGGGGCAGGTGTAAGTGGTGTTTAGCCCCGCTGTTTTCAGAGTGGCTAAAAACTCGCTTTGTAACATGCCCGCCTCCGAGGAATAAAAGGAACAATGAACGGGCAAGACAGCATTACTTCCATATTAATGCAAGAACTGGGCCAGGCGAGGACTTGCGACCTTAACCTTACTTGAACCCTCATCAGGAGCTGAGGGTGTAACCATTTGGAGGGCTGCCGCCATCTCGGGCGCCACCAGGCGCTCTGTTTGGGGGGTGAGGGCGATAAGGAAGGCCTTCCCCTAGTCGGTCTACAGCAGCACACTGGAGACTGACTTAGCGCCCCTGCGACAGAACTTACTTCCCTGCAGGAGGAGATGCGCAAGAGTTCATGTGTGAGTTAATTTTACTTCGAGCTGTCTTAATCGTATGTCTTAATCGTGGCCGGTCCAGGAGAGATGCTTCGTGTACTGTGACACGTTCAGCCGGATTCAGATTTGGCCTCTTTAACTTAGTAGCTGGGCATGCTCCGTCAAGTTGCACGACCTAAGGCCTCAGTTTTCAGTGCTGTGAAACGGGGATAAATGATAGAATGCAAGACTACAACTACAGCACCTGTCACCTTCAAGGTGTGTTAGCTCACACTAATAGCATTCATTTGAGACCTACCGCTTTGGGATCCTTTGCCTTAACAGTGTCAATTCTCATCTAATTATCCCTCTTTCTTCCCCCAACTGCAGTTCAATCAGCCTTCTCCCAAACTTCTCTACCCAACCAGGAAAGACCCTTCCTGGGAGGCCATAGCTATTTACATGTGAACCCTTCTAAAAACATAACTCCAGCATCCCTCTTTGCCACAGAAGTACTGAATTCTGTAGATTGGAAAAAAAGAAAAGTCTCCAAGTATGCATATGTGATGAGGAGACAGCTGAGTGTTTACGATTCGGTTTTGTTGCTGTGATCTCAGAAATAGATCTCACATATGCACATTGCTTCTTCTCCCCTCTCCTATAATACTATCTGACACAGACACTTGCTTTCTTATTTCCTAGAACATTGACCGCTCCGGGCAACGAGAGCGTTATAGACAAAGTCTGTAGGGCAGCTGTCGTTCTTTGCCCACCTAGGGACGCGAGTTACAAACCCAGTAGTCGTTCTTGATGTCTTCTTTCCCCCAACATACGTCCAATGGCCTGTTGATGCTACTCCCAAATACGTGTGGACCTGGCCCCTTCTCCGTCCCCACTGCACCGCCTGCGTTCAGTTATGCGGCTGTCTCCAACCATGCCCACCGATGTGCTCCCCCAGGCTAGCGGCCACACTACCGTCCAATTCAGTAGAAGATTAACTTCAAATAAAGCACGATTCCAACCCTAACTCAGCCTCTCATAAACCTCTCTGTAGCCTTCAGAATAAAGTCCATATATTTTTAGTATTTATTTATTTATTTATTTATTTTGAGAGAGAGAGCTAGAGCAAATGGGCGGGGGTGCAGGAAGGGGGCGGGCAGAGAGAGAATCATAAGCAGGCTCCACACCCAGCGCGGGGCCTGACACAGGGCTCCGTCTCACAGCCCTGAGATCATGACCTGAGCCGAAATCAGGAGTCGCTTCACTGACTGAGCCACCCAGGTGCCCCATAAAGTCCATGTTATTTAACAAAATATATAAAAAATCCATTATGATCTGGCACCAAGCTACTTTTCCAGCCTCATCTCCTGCAACTGGGCCACAGGAGCCCCACACTCCTCCCTTTTGTCATGCCCTTCCTTTCTGTAAAACAACAGAGCTATCCTCTTGTTGGTTGTTTTATCCTTCGCATGGTACCCAGCACAAACAGACGCTCAAATACTTGTGAATTAATAGTTACCTGCCCCTTTTGTCTCATGAAATATTTTAGACTTTATCAGAGTATTTTATTTTTTTATATACTGTAACCGATACTTACTGTGCAGAATGCAGAAAATGCAGCAAAGTTGGAAGAGGAAAATAAGCCACCTGGCATGTCACCAGTCAGGAATCGGGCTGCTGATATTTTTATGTATTTCTTCCTTTAATTTTCCTAAAGGGCCATTTCAGGTCCTCATCGATGCAGTCTCTCTGTATCATGTAGTAATGCCCATTGTGCTTCCCATTTTCCATGATGTGTGTGTGACTTCCCTCTGTCCTGTTCTATTTCTTGGCTGGCTTCTCTTCTGCTGCCGGCCCCCTAAATTATGATGTTTCCAGACATTCCATCTTAAACCCTTCCATTTTCTCATTCCACGTGCTTGCTTTTTGAGTGCTCTCACTCATGCCCAGAGCTTCAGCTAGCTCTATTTGGTGTTAGATCCAAAGTCTGTAGCTTGTTCCTCGGGTTTGACAAATTATGCACGTCTAAAACGAAACTCATCACATCTTTCCCAACAACCTTGTATATTTATCACCTCACTGACCCACCAGCAAACTGGCAGACATCCCTGACTCCTGCCTTTCCTGAGCCCCCTGGAGCTCCCAGAGGCATGGGTACTGTTTCCAATTTTTCAGGCCCCTAAACACATAAAGCATAGTAGATGAATTTCACTCTATTCTTGTGACCTTGATGACGTATCGCTACAGACCAAAAGTATAAATACACCCCCAAAAATCCACATGGTATTGATATACACAGGCAAGAAATATTTCTTGGCCCTTTGATGAGATACGTACAGTCATAAATCTCTGTGGAAAATGGATCAATATAGCAAAATATAACCTCTTTGAAAGTCTCTGAAAAAAGTAACCTTTGCCATCCCAAAGAAATCTGACCAGACCCCTTGGTCTAATATAAAAACCACTGTGCGAGCAGTCTTATGTAATGAAACCAGAGTGATCTCCTGAGTGAGGCCTGTTGTTGTTTCACCTGGGGAATAGCACCTTCTAAAAGAAGATCTACCTGCATGCGTTAGGACTAATTTCTTTTCAGGGAAGTTGAGTAAGAGCAGTGATTAGTTGGACATGTAGTGATTGATGTCTCCATGAAGGATTTCAACTAAGGAAGAAAATTAAAGATACATTCAAGGTTAACCCCTTTCAAATGGGTTTTTCATTTATTTTCCTAACAAGAAGAGTTTGATAAAATAATCAAATAGCCGACATTTACACAGTGCCCACAGACTTTTCTCAGCACTGGGAATACAGCACTGAACCAAAACCATTGGAAATCTCTGCATCCTGAGAAGGTTTCTTCCAGTCTAGTAAATTGTCATGTTAATTTCCATTACATCATCTCCCAGTATCCCAGCATCCCCTCCATCTATAATCACAGCCTTTAGAAATGTACGTTAAAGTTAAGAATGTGCAATAAGATGGCTCGCTCACTATAATGTTAAGTATTTATAGTTGTGATTAAATCAGCAGCCCCTCATCCATCTGTCAATGGATGTCCCAATCCCCACCTTATCAATGATACCACTCTGTTCTGGCCACAGAGGCTCCCCTCCATGGTGCTATAATTCAGGGGATTATAAAATACAGAAAATGAGTATTCCACACTTGCAAGAGCAGTTGGGCCAATAGAGAGGCATAGTCCATAGTCCTGAACTCTAAAGAATATTACTGTGCCGTCCCCGTTGAATAAATAGACAGTCAAGTTAGATTTTAGTTGGGACAGTAGAACTGTAATGACATTGAAAAGGCCCTCAATCAAAGTTCAAGGATCAGAGGCATCAAGTTGGAGAAGATCTTGACTATTACCTCATGTAATGGTGTCTCCCACTTTACTAGAAAATGAAATGAGGTCTATTTTGTTGCAATTATTCTCTGAAATCATGCATTTAAATTGAGCGATATATTGCCCAGTCCTTAGTAATAAATATTAATTTTGTCCTGTTCTGATGAAGTAAGGGAAAAGATATTCTTTAAAATTGCCAGGATAGAGACAACTGGCTGGCTCAGTCAGTGGAGGGTGTGACTTACAATCTCAGGGTTGGAAGTTCAAAGCCCCATGTTGGGTGTGGAGATTACTTAAAAATAAAATCTTTAAAAGTAAATAAACGAAAGAAAAAACTGCCAGGGTGTGTGTGTGTGTGTGTGTGTGTGTGTGTGTGTGTGTCAGAAAGAGAGAGAGAGAGAAAGGGGGAGAAAGATTATCTTGTCTAAAAGGAAGGTTTACAATTTTTACAACTTCATACATTGTTTTGCTAAAATTTCTCTGTTCCATCCCCAAGTAGCTCTGAAATATTCATCAATTCGCCAAGGTGATAAACCATAATGTAGTACTTTTATTTTTAAAGTCAGAAGGAAAAGGTGTCAAAAAAAAGGAAAAGGCATCCATAGTTCTGTCTTGAGGTTCTTTAGAAAGAATTACTATAATAGTTTCAAGTATTAAAAATATTTTAAACAAGAAATAAACTTCAGGGGCACCTGGGTGGCTCAGTGAGTTAAGCATCTGCCTTCAGCTCAGCTTGTGATCCCAGGGTCCTGGGATCGAGTCCCACATCAGGTTCCCTGCTCGGAAGGAAGCCTGCTTCTCCCTCTTCTACTCCCCCTGCTTGCGTTCCCTCTCTCGCTGTGTGTGTCTCTCTCTGTCAAAAAAATAAAATCTTAAAAAAAAAAAGAAACAAAGTTTTTAACATAAATTCAGCAAACCACACGATTCACTGGATCTGGATATTTGGAGAATTTTTTGTTACAGCTTCCAGTCTCTGTAAGCTCTTCACACAGCATAGGAAGCTCAGTGACACTCAGCGTGTTCTCTTTCTTCCCAACATCCTCATTCTGAATGACACCCCCTTCATTCTATTTGCAAATGTTTGGAAATTTGCCAGTCAGAAAGACAGAAGAGTGTCATGAAACAAAGGACTGAGAGTATTTTTAAGTCTCTGACTTCCTCGAAAAAACTTCTTCTCCCCTAAATCCAACACATGCAAGACAGTTCACACACACACACACACACACACACACACACACACACACACACACACCACTCTTGGCACTGAGGCGGCGAGTGGGTGACATTTTGCAGGCCTGTGACGGCCACGCTGGGGACACTGAGCTGCTTGAAGGCTGTAGGAACAAGACAAGCCTCTGCTCTCCCAGAGCTTAAATCCCAGTGGGGTCAATGTCAACAGACAACCCAACCAATAAAAAAGTTACATATTTGTCTTGGTGTTTTGAAGGAAATAGACAAGAGCTTTGACTGAAAATACTGGCAGATCTAGGTGGTCAAGGAAGGTTCCTCGGAGAAACTGACAGTTGAGCCAAGGCTTAAAGAACGAGAGGATAGGGGCACCTGGGTGGCTCAGTCGGTTGGGTATCTGCCTTCCGCTCAGGTCTTGATCCTGGGATCGAGCCCCGCATGGGGCTCCCTGCCCAGTGAGGAGTCTGCTTCTCCCTCTCCCTCTCCCTCTCCTGCTCCCTCTGCTTGTGCTCTCTCTCGATCGCACTCTCTCTCAAATAAATAAATAAAATCTTAAAAAAATAAAAAGAACTAGAGGATGCTGTGTTAGTTCCCTAGGGCTGCCATAACAAAGCACCACAAACCAGGCAACTGAAATAAACAGAAATGTATTGTCTCCTAGTTATGGGAGCTGATAGGCCAAGATCAAGGGGTCACAAGGAAAAGGTCCGTTCCTTCTGAGGCTGAGGGAGGGATTTGCTCCATGCCTCCTAGCTTCTGGTGGTTTGCCAGGAATCTTGGGCATTCTTCGGCTTACAGATGATCTCTGATCTCTGCCTTCATTTTCACATGGTGTTCTTCCGGGAGTGAACCTGTGTCCAAACTTCTCCTTTTTATAAAGACACCGGTCATTGGATTGGAGGCCCACCGTACTCCAGTATCATCTCATCTTAACTAATGACCTCTGCAAAGACCTGTTCTGCATAAGGTCGCATTCTGAGGTACTGAAGGTTAGGACATCATCATATGAATTTGGTTGCGGCGGGGGAGGGGGTTTGGGGAGGACACAATTCAACACATAACAGGTACCAATTATGCACTAAAGCCCTGGGGCAGAGGAAATACAGCAGTGCAGTGCAAGGATTTCTTAATTTGTTGGTTTCTTAGGAGAATTTACAACTGTTCTTTCATTGCCCTCTCAATTCATTACATGTTGGATTTGCTGAGGAAATACAACACGTTTATGATATTCTGAAACAGTTTTGTCTTTTTTATTTTTTTTTAAGATTTCATTTATTTATTTGTCAGAGAGAGAGAGAGAGAGAGTACAAGCCGGGGGAGCGGCAGGCAGAGGGAGAAGCAGGCTTCCCGCTGAGCAGGGATCCCCATGCGGGGCTGGATCCCAGGACCCCAGGATCATGACCTGAACCAAAGGCAGATGCTTAACCGACTGAGCCACCCAGGTGTCCCCAGTTTTGTCTTTTTAATATTCATTTTTAATTCCTCAGTTAAAATATTTAATTTCCGTTAGCTTTCTCTCCAGATTCTCATCTCCAGAAATGAAGTAAGTTTTTATTTCATTCTTTTTACCCCTAAAGAAACTTTCCTTAAAGAAGAAGGTAAAAGAGAAGAAATATTCGACTATAGATTCCAGGCATTTTCCTCAGACTGTTTTGAGTGAACAGTGATCATTTTCAGAGATTATGTCACCACAAAAATCAATATTCATTCCAAAGTTCAGTGGCTCCAAATTATATCGGTTTTTTGATTTCTAAAAATGTTCAGATTTTTTTTCTGTCAGAAACTCCTCGTGTAATAAATCGTTTTCACAAAACTGAACTTTTGTTGGCAGAACAATCAGTATAAGTAAAACTTCATGGTTTGCCTTGAACATTTTGTAATTTGAAAGCAAATATTGATTTAAACAGCCCATCACGTATTTTCTCAACCTCAAGCTGTGGATCCTGCTTTCTGCACCACTCCTCTCTTGACAACCAAAAAAGGTTGACTTTTTTTCTGTTTTATGTATTGAGGTTCTGAGTAGGCTTAATTTAGGGAGAAGGTCCTGTTGCTTTAAAAAAAATTTTTTTTAATTTAAAAACTAACAGCCACAAAAACTGTTAGTTTTACTTCATTTTCAGATAATCAGAGAGAAAAAATAAAACACAACCAACTGTAAGTGGAAAACCACTAAAGATGGAAGGAGAGAAAGAAATACAGACACCAAGCGACTCTTAGGAGGTGGTTGTGAGCGTCCATAGAGCAGAGCCAGCCACCTGAGAGGTACCAACATTATAGGCTTATCATCACTTGACTTGCTCCGTTGTCTCCCATTTTTCTTTGTTTTTACTTCCCATCTTGATGAGAACTTCTCATCTTTTCAGTGATGCAGAACCAAAGAATCATGACCAGTTGTTTTCATGTATGCAGTTAAGGTCATTCATGAAAGTTTAGATTTGGACAGCCCTTCTTCCCTCATTGAGAAACAAAAAACATGACCCCCAAGCCTGTCATCTTTCACAGTGCTCATAGGTTTTACCACATACACACTTTTTCACAGTGCTCATAGGTTTTACCACATACACACTTTTCCTTTTGTTGGTATTTTTGCTTATGATGAATTTAAGTATGATAGTAGGAAATATTTGTACCATATTGAGGGGAAAAGGAAAATAAAGTTCACATGTGCAGTATGACCACCCCAAAGATGTAAGTAAGACCAAACGGAAGTACAGCGGAACATTAGTAGTGATTGTCTTGAGTGATGGAACTATGGATAATTTTTTTTTCCTATTGAAAAGTTAACATTTTTTGAGGATAGATTTTACTTTTATTAATGTAAAATTTTAAATAATATTGTATAGGTGATTTCAGAAAATATTTCTTGATATATGATGTTTATATAAAGTACTTGTGAGTTTTAGCTAGTTTTTTCCATAGAACTTCAAAAAAGAAAGCACTGATTAACATATCTTATATCTTACACTACATTCTTTTAAGAATTTTTAAACCTGTGTCTCTTTAAGTTACATGGAAGATAACTTTTTCCTACAAATGCCATGGAGTTTCTCCTAATCTTTTATTTTATTAAAACATTCAGCTTTTAAAACGCATTTTGTGTTTTTATCTAAGAGTTCAAATATTGACTCTCAAGTGAACACATAAGAACAAACTTATAATGTATATCCAGATAAATAGCTATTAATCAATGATACATCCCATGATCATTAATATCTAAATAACCTTTTGTTTTAATTCACATCATGGCTTCAATATGCTATTTGAAAAAGAGTAAGAATTAAGAGAAGTTTATAACAACTAAAGAATCTTTTCTAATTATAAATTTTCATTTCACTTATATGCAAATTTCAGTTACTATATTCTTAGCAATCAAATTCAAATTCTTAGATCTCAAACATGAATGAAGACTCTAAGAAAAATATCAAACTTCTATGTTAAATTTGTTCTCTTTGCTTTTCGTCTTTCTGGCACTTTCATATTTAGTCATCACATTTCCTATTCTGCTTGCTCAGTTTCCACATACAACTAGATCAGCAGAAAGGGAGGGAAAGCGTCTCATTTGAGGGCAGTGAAGGAAAGAATCTCTCTTTATCGCTCCCTCTCTCTCTCCCTCTCTTCTACAGGAACTCACTCAGTAGAAGAGGGTTCTCTGCCTGCAAATGCTCATTTGGAATTCAGAATACATTTTACCACAGAACTAAGAAGAAACTATAACAATATAAGCAATATAGTTTACCGTCATTGTGGGTTAAAAGGGGAATCTGTGGGCCGGCCTGGGAATCCAGTTTCACAACACTGCACACATGGGAAATTTTCATTCTGAAATCTTAACCGCTGTTTTCCAAGGATATTGTTGGAGCCCATTGGATTGTGTGGGTCTGGGACTGCCTGCCCTCTGCAGGGCTGTGCTTGGCAATTTGGAAGAGACAAGGAGGAAGGAGGCCTGGTTCCTGACCTCAAGGCATTTGCAGGCTCCATTGGGAGACAGGGCCCACAGTGAAATGATTATCTCAAGACAGAAATGGTTGGTGGCTCCACTCCCAGGTAACATTTTAATACATTTATTTACCTGTTTGTTCAGCAAACAGGTTCCAGTATGTTTCTTGACTCTATATTAATTATCTTTCTCTTTTTTTATGTTTTGCATAATATTTTCTAATATAAGTATTACATGATTATTGTAGAATATTAGAGCAATACAGGCCTATTTTGTAGTGACAAAATCGGAAAGCACTTGAATGTCTGTCAGTAACTGAATAATTGAATAAACCGTGGTTGATCTATTCTATGGGATGCTATGCACAAATAAGAAAGAACACATTAAGGTTTTCTGTTGATCTAGAGAGGAGACCAGGATGTATTTTAAAGAATGAAAATGACGATGCAAAGAAATGTTCATATTATGATCTTATTTTTGCAAAGACAACCTCCAAAAAAGACCCCCCCCAAAAATGTTTGAATTAAAAAGGATAAAGGTATATATACAAAGCTGTTAATATTGGTCACCTTGAGGACAAGTGAGTTATTAATTTTTTTATTTATCTTTGTATTGAGAAAAAATGATAATTTTAAAATGAAAATCTGGAAATATAGAGCAAAATAAAGAGAAAATTTAAAATCACCGATTTCTGAATTTTATTTTGTTAGGATAGTGTGTGTGTGTACTACTCTGGATAGCTAATTATAAGTAGATTTTTCTTGACTGTCCATGTGTTTATGTCACTTCAAGCACCTTGTGGCAAAAGTGCTTTAATCCAAAGCCACCCAATAGGCCCACAATGGAGACACTTTTAAGCAGGCAGGCATTTCAGTTCCCTTTGGGATCTGCCTACTCTCCCTGTGGGAATGGCCCACCTTAGCCCTTTCTGTGTATCTCTCCTACCTAAATGGAAAGGAAGACTTTCCTAAAGTGTAAAAATGTGATAATAAAGGATGTTGTTCTCACACCAGCATGAGCCCTGCTCTTCTTAAGGATTCTCTGCTTTATACTGATGAATTTTCCAACATCGTCTTAAAGAACCAACATGGCTTCCCACCAGGCAAGCTGGATGTACTCATAGGAAGGAGGCAAGCAGATAACGGAGTCTGGTCTGCTAACTACTTTTTTTTTTTTCAGATTTTATTTATTTATTTTGACAGAGAGACACGGTGAGAGAGGGAACACAAGCAGGGGGAGTGGGAGAGGGAGAAGCAAGCTTCCTGCGGAGCAGGGAGCCCGATGTGGGGCTCGATCCCAGGACCCTGGGATCATGACCTGAGCCGAAGGCAGACACTTAACGACCGAGCCACCCAGGTGCCCCTCTGCTAACTACATTTTTAAGAAAATGCTGTATACATTTCTGCTCAATATTGCTTGTAAGTCCATGACACTAGTTCAGTGGACTCTGAAAAAGTGAGTGGCTTAGTCCAGTTTTCTCTGTATTTCTTCCGAAGAATTATTCACCAGGAGATAGACATCAATTACATCAACATGACACTTTCATCAGCACAAAACTGAACAATTCCAGGTAGTAAACAACAAAGCATAGCCAGAACTACCAAAGGAAAAGCTCAGAAGGCTTCCCCAAGGTAGTAGGATTTGGGCTGTACCTTAAAGAATAGGTTAAAAATAGAGTAATTAAAAATATGTATTTGTGTGTGTGATTAATAGCCAGCTTTAAAAAGCCTTGACAGAAGCTTTCAGCCTTTAAAATGTCCTCTCATCCCGCAGAGAACACCCATCTAACAAACTCATCTGGTCCTATAGTCCAAGCTAGTTCTGTATTTAAGCCAAAGAAATTTTGTTGAAGTATACATCAAATGTATTGATAGAGTTAGGAACTAACTTTTTCCATTAAAAATTGGAGATGGGGGTGGAGAGAAAGACTCCTAGATCCAACATGTGGAAGAAATATGTTTACTATGATCTCTAAGGCAGATCTTTAGCCTCTGAAACTATAGATGGAAAACTATTTCCCTGTGATATTTCAACTGATTCCTTAGGAGTGAAAGAGAAAAGTTACAGTCACCAGATCAGTGCCTGTAGATATAAATTTCTTGGATCCTCTTAGGGCATGCAGCAATGGGCAGCTGATACAATGATGGTGATGAACCTATTCATGGTCATGTTCAGGATGTGCAGAAGAGAAGTCTCAGCTTACTTATCAACTCAGCATTCCACTCACAAGTGACTTTGATTACAAATCTGTGTCTATTCCATGATACCAAACAGCTGGTGGAAACTTAATACCTATTGTCTAGATGTTTTGCTTGTGGTCGTGTAGGCAAAACACCCACCTGTGCACTAACCTAGTATTTTATCCAGATGTTTGATGGTGTGCCTATGACCCTTTCACTATATACATTATTTCTTCCTGTTAGCCTATATAAAGCCCAAATTAGATTAAAATTCAATTTATCTCCCAAGTTTAGGCTTTAATTAAACAAAAATAAAGGAATTCTAAGAATCCATATATGGCGAGTCATGTTTTCTGCTATAAAAATGTGAGAGACTCTTGAGTTCAGAATAACAGAGTAAACACAAACCCACACAACCACCTTTTGTCAAAATTCACCAAGAAATTTCAGGGAGAACAGGTAACAGAAATGTATATCGATCATTAGGAAGCTAAGTGATGTCCATACCCACAATATATGGAAATAGATTTTGGAAAGAGGAATAACAAAGAGCAAGGAGCAAAGACTGAGCAGAGAGAAGGAAAGTCAAACCTTCACACCTGCAAAGGGAGTTGGAGGGGTATCCTTCAGAAGTGGGCTAATTTTCCACACAGGACCCAGAAAAGACAGAGGAATAGGAAACACTGGGCAGGGGCAGCAAGATTAAATTAAAAGTCTATCTAAGGAGCAGTTAGGTCCTTACAGTTCTCCACCCTTATCTAATTCCGAAGCAGTTCGTTGACTTCTTCCCCTCCAAATGCTGAAATGGGCAGAGGTGGAGTTCCTTTTAAAGCAGGTGAATTGAGGTAGTCTGTATGCTGAACAGTGAAATCTCCATCTCCCTTCCACTCTCAGACCCAGAACACCAACATCCAGAGTAAAATTCCCAGATTGGAGATTGGAGGTTGCTACCCCAGAGGAGATACTGGCCAACAGTGATATTTGGAGGGCCTCAGTAGAAAACCAACTGGTCCCCTCAGTTTGCCTCAGTGAAGACCACCAGTGTATAAGCTCCTGTCCAAAGAGCTTCTGGCTGGGTCAGCTTTTTGGTGCCTTAATCTTAAGAGTGAACACTGTAACATAACCACAGTGAAAATAAAAAGAATAAAGAATTCCTGCAACAAAGATGATGCAGGAAAGTAAACTTAAAAATAAAAAAACAAACCTTTCATTAACATCATTAAAGATATGAGAGAAGATATTGCATCTATAAAATAGGAACAAAATGATAGAAAAGGAACCAGTGGAGAACAAGAAAAAGTTCCTAGAAATTAAAACTAAGACAGAATGTTTAAAATTCTATAGAATAATTGGAAGACAAAGTCAAGTAAATCTCACATAAAGTACAATAAAATAAGAGAAATGGAAAATAGGAAAGAAATATGAAAAATGAATGCTCTATTCAAGATATTCAGTATCTAGAAGAAATTCCAGAAAAATGATAATTAAGATAACAGTAGACAGAAAAATTAGTAAAGGCATAAGGCAAATTCCTCAGGACATTTTGAGGAACATGATTTTCCAAATTTAAAAGGTACCCCAGTATTTGGCACAATGTGCGAAGGAAGATATATGAAGATCTATACCAAGATTATCATCACAATGAAGAACAGAAAAGACAGTTTGGCAATGAAAAAGTAACAAGGACTATACTTGACCTCCTGCAGTAAGTAACTAGAAACCTGGACAAAACATGAAACGACTGATTTCAGGCATTGACTGGAATCCTTGAGAAGAAAAGGAAACAAATAAGCCAATGCTGTGCTCTCTGTTAGAGGCAATTTCCACACGGTGGTTGCAGTGACCGGGGATAGGGTGGGGGGTGGGGGTGGGGGTTGGGAGGGGATCAAACAGAACCAGGAAAGGGAGTAAGGAAACTAATATGACAGGTCAGAGAGGTTGAGGGGCCGGGAGTTGTGAGGCAGAGCTCTCAAAAAGAGGTAGTTATATAGAAAAAAGTTCCAGAAATGTGTATGGTCCCCTTTAGTGTTTGCTGACTCCTGAACCAGGCATATGGAAACCAGTACTCCAAAATGCTGGACAAGGAATGACTGGCAAATTAAATATTCCCAGAGCTCACACAGACCTTAAAATTGAACATCCATCCCCCAACAGGCAGAATGAAGAGGGCCTACTGATCATCCAAGGCATTTACGCCTCTCAGGTAGGGCTGAACAATCCCTGGAGTAAAGGCTACTTTCTGTATGTCTTAGCAAAGCTTAAAAACAGGCCTTAAAGGGATAAAGCTGATATGCAAGTAAAACTACTTGTTCAAACAAAGCCAAAAACTCATTAAGGTAAGACAAAAAGCAAACAAAATCCAGACAGTCAACAACATAAAATACAGTGTCTAAAATCTAATAAAAAATTACTAAACATGCCAAGAAGTTAAGAAAATGTGACCCATAATCAAGGGGGAAAATAAATCAAGCAATAGGAACAGACCCAAATAAAAGCCCCAGATGATGGAACTTAGTAGTCGAGGATTTTTTTAAGCTCTTAGAATCACGAACACATATTGAAAGGAAAACATGAACTTAATGAGGAAATACATGGAAGATATCAAAAAAAACCCAAATAGTGAAATTTCTAATATAAAAAGTACACCATCTGAAAAAAAAAAAGTTTAACTAGATGAACCCACACCCAGATCTTGGTTTCCAAATCCATTCTCTCATAGGAGAAACGAGGGCTCTCTGAAGGATCAAAATTACCATTGTTGGTCATAAGTCATGTTGATAGCATACATCCTTAATACGATGTGATGAGAATGGCATTTTACCTCTGTGGTCTTCCTCCCCCAAACCCATAACTCCAATGTGACAGGCAAAATAGTGGCCCCCCAAAATGTTCACCTTTCAAAGCCCAGAACGTGTGAATATATTATC